CTTAACAGTATGAGCAAAACGGGATTCTCTGCCACCTTGTGTACACATGGTAAAACGATGTGAGCTGTTTTACACAGCACTGTTCAATGTTTGTGCCGTCAGGAAGGAAGGGACTGCCTTACCTAAGTTCACCCATCTACTCCAATACGAAAAATACTCCAATACCATGTCCTTGAGACTCGGAAGGAAATTACAAGATGAAAGACTGACTTTATTTCTAGATAAAACTTTAAAAGTTCTTTCAGTTGTTACCTGAAATCACGGTTTGGGACTGACGGATAAACTGGCAATGGCATCAAAGCTGATAATATATTCAACGCACTCATTAAAGGTTTCTAACGTTTCCTACACAATTCACACAATTCCTACACAATTTTAAGCACCTTTTTAGTGAGGGCATCCTGGCCTGCAACAGGAACTGTGTGGCCAGTAGGACTAGGACAGTGATTGTCTCCCTGTACTGGGAACTGGTAAGGCCACACCTCAAATCCTGTGTTCAGTTTTGGGCCCCTCACTGCAAGAAAGACACTGAGGTGCTGGAGTGTGTCCAGAGAAGGGCAATGGAGCTGGGGAAGGGTCTGGAGCACAAGCCCTGTGAGGAGCAGCTGAGGGAGCTGGGGTTGTTCAGCCTGGAGAAGAGGAGGCTCAGGGGAGACCTTGTCGCTCTCTACAACTCCCTGAAAGGAGGTTGCAGAGAGGTGGGTGTTGGTCTCTCCTCCCGTGTGACAAGTGATAGGACAAGAGGAAAAGGCCCCAAGATGTACCAGGGGAGGTTTAGATTGGGTATTAGGAAAGATTTCTTCCCTGAAAGTGTTGTCAGGTATTGGAACAGGCTGCTCAGGGAAGTAGTTAAGTCACTGTCCCGTCTCCATCTTTTCAGGCAGGAAATCTCTCAGAGCAATCCCTCTCCAAAGCGACAAAACAAATAGCTGAAGGACAGTAACAGGCATCTTAATTTAGTAGTACCTGATACAGGCACATAATTAGCCTTATTCCTATTATTTGTTTCAAACTAATAAGTTAATTATACGTAAGGCTATCTAGACATATTTAATAAAATCAGAAAAGATTCTTACAAAATCATATTAGAAACTGGGAAGTATTCCCTAGACTTTAATATCATATGAATATTCTTAGATTTAAAAATAGGAAGGAGCAAAAATTGCCATCCAGTCTGACATTATATATCATAAAAATTAGGGAAATTGTTGCAGGACAAATTATCAGAACATAAAAGTCTTGTTCTACATAATATTTTACCGATGAAACCAAACTGATTGAACCAACTCTGCCGGAGTACAAAACAAACAAAAAAGAAACCATAAAAAAACCCCTACAAACCCCAAAACTAAGGTCAATCCTCTCACATGGAACTCTCATTGTGAAAGTTTTCTACAAGAATAGAAACAAAATGCTATTGCCACAATAATGTAACTAAATTCTCTTTAAATAAATGAATGTAAAAGTTTAGCAAAGATAAATCTAAAGTACATCAAAGATAAAATATTTTGGCCAAAGCCATTTTCATACCAGTGAAAAAAAATACATGAAGACAATTTTCTAAAGCACTGAGAACACTACTGGCATCCACCACTTTTTTCCCCCCCCAATAAGGTACTTTTTAAAAAAATGTTTCTCATAATTTTACAAAATAATACAAAAAAATTCAAAAGAAGAATACAAAGAGCAAAAGAATGTCAAAAGAACAGCATAAGAATCAAGATTATTGCCAAAATACTTCCCCAAAACTAAGCCACCATACCAGAAGTTAACCGTTTCTGACTGAAACTGATGTTGGCATCAGGAAATCACCAGGTAAAACTTGCCAGTATAACAAAACAGGTCACGCTTAACAGCAACAGATGACGCTACATCTACAGAGTTTTAAATACATCACTTACTGCTTCGACTCATGGTGACAAACCTCCAGCGTGGGATCATTATAGATGAAAGCTGCTTCTAAGTCATTGACTCTTACTCTGTAAATCCGGCACTGTTTGCTGTTTAGTTTGATTCTATTCAGATTTGCAACTGTGGGAAATATCGTCAGTTCCACATAACCCTATGAAAACACAAATCAAAAGCTTTATATATAAACTTTGCCAACTCACTCTATTTTTATATATATATAATCTTATTAATGCATTTCAAAGAAAAAACATAGGTTAAACAAAATGTTAACTTTTTATTTGACAAGGCAATTGGTTTGACTTTTTCATGTCTAGAGCACATTTTTTCTTTAATACCATTTAACAGGTGAATTTTCCCAGCCATGAAATAGAATAAAACAAACCAAAAAACTTCAAAATTACTGACAACCATGCTCTTTTACTGGAAATGATCTGCCTCTATTGACTAGATTTCAAGTTACTAGCCTCACTACGTTTTCATCACTGTGCTTTAGGTTTCAGTATCTGAGCTTCAGACAGTGATTTTTAAACCCTAAGAAAAATCCATTTTGGCAGATATATAAATTTACAATAAAACGCAATGACTTCAGGCCTTAGAATAGGAAAGTCTCTTCAAAACCCCAGTAAACTCACACACAAGCTAGAAAACTCTGTACTCCTATCCCTAACACCAGCTAACACTGTGTTGAACATCAATTTTTAACTATTTTCTTGTAATTTGGAATATTATTTACAATGTAGTAACATTTTAGAAAGCTCTTCCTTACAGAGATTAAAGCGGTCACTAGTAGAAGGTACTTTATTTAACACATATCAAGGAATGATAGACTTATGAGAGGCATTAGATTAGGAAGTATAAAACATAAAGAAGACAAAGAACATAATTAGTTTCCGTGTGCAGTTGTTTCCTCTGAAAGCATTAAGCAAACCCAGACTTTCAATTTCTACTTTCACATTTTATTAAAAAATACTTACTACAACAGATTTTCTCTGAAAATTTATGTTGTTGATACAAACTACCTGGTGAGTCGTGCTGGAAAAAAAAATAATTAAAATAAGTATGGTTTTGTACAAACGCCCACATTTAAAATATTTTAACCCAGTTTAGAAAAAAAAAAAGAGAGCTCATACAGAATATACGTACATATAGATAAATACTGCATATAAGATACACTTATATAAGAATTTACGATGGTCTAAATCTCATACATGGTCCAAAACAAATAATAAATAGAATTTGCACACAAGGTCAAAAAAGTGCCAATAAAATCATTATATCATCCCAGTATGTATATTACTAGCAACAGAGGAAGATAACAACATCGCTTTTGCACATCATGTAACAGTATGTAAAAATAAAGCATTATTAATGGCACAGAATCAAGTTCTTTTAGAGATGTGCAGTGTTAGAAACAGCACGCAGCTACAGTATGTGCCATCAGAGACCTGTGGAAAGTTGACTCGGTGAGTTGATGTTCATACATTATTCATGTAAGCAGGAACTATACATGAAAAAAGATACAGTATGTGCTTTTACAATTAATGTGCCATAAGAATTTGTTATTTTAAATATAATAATCAGGTTGGTATTTTAAACAAGCCAAGTGCATTTGTTTAAATTCTGACTGATGTACTAGAACTCGTGGTAAATAAAACCCTGACTTTAAAAATGGAAGATAAAACAGGAATTCCAACTTACACTTCACAGTACTCAGTGAACACAGTGCTATTCACGACTCCAGATACAACCTTGTAATAATTCAACTTCCATGCTACATCACACATTATATGCATATACTCGTGTAGCCTGTGCACTAACAGTGACTTAGCTTCAGTTGAGCAAGCTCAATCAATTGCTACAAGAGAATGGTAACATCTGGTATCCAGTGATGGATTCAAACATTACCTACACATTAAAATGTGTAAGAAACAACAGTGATTCGATTTGGTTTAGAAATACATTTGTGCTACAAATCTATCAAGAAATCAAAGAGGTATAAACAGAAATACATACGGTTCCACTTAAATCCACAACCAACTGTTCTACAGCTGGGTTACAATCAAAATAATTAACACATAAGAATGACAATTTGCTTAAGAAAGCTGCTTGCTGCAAATGCAAGCATTTAATTTAATATATAAAAAAGCCCTTGTCAAAAGGGTTTGACACAACAGCAAGAATGAAACATGGCAGCATAGTCTGTAGCGCTGACACTGTGTGCAGAAATCTCCAAGGTTTGAAGAGCATAATATCAGTATCTTTGTAAGATGAGACTGCACGACTGACACAGTCTGTGAGTCCATTTACACAATATAACATACACCTACAACACACTTTCTAAGTGCAAGCTACACCACAAGCAACAGTTGCAACCTTCTGAGGTAAGTAATTACTGATGAGCCTATGGCCTCTTTCAAATGTGCACTGGTCTCGTATACAACTTTAAAAAAATTGATACTTATAATTTATATGGTCTTGGGCTTTCAAATCCTTTGTCTCCTTTCTTCCTATTCATCCTGAACAGCAGCACTAAACACACACTGCTGACCGTCAGACTGGCACCATCATCATCCTTGCTCGATGGGTCCTTCGATTTTTCCCTGTGACAGGTCGTATTGGATCACTTATCTCCCTAGTGGATCTGCGACTCCCAACAGTCAGGCATCTTCAGCTGGAGTAAGCACCACAGTCACAGCACAAACAACATTTAGTCTTTCTACGTAACCTTTTACGAGTGCAGCACACAGTCCCTCTCTCCACTGGGGGTACGGTACCAGTTCAGAGCCGCTGCGTGTTTCCTCCTTGCAGAAGACAAGTAAATCAACCGCCTCAGTGGGCAGCGGAGATGGGAGCTACTGAATCGGGAAGACTGCGGCCGGGGCGACGGGCCGGGCACGGCCGAAGCGTCCCCGCTCCTGGACA